ATATACAGTGGCTTGAAAAAGTATTCATACCCCTTGAACTTTCCCACATTTTCTCACCTTCCGACCACAAACATAAATATATTTTATTGGCATTTTAGATAAAAGATCAACATAAAGCGACACACAATTGTGAAGTAGAAGGAAAATTATACATGACTTTAAATTGTTTTTAGAAATAAAAAACTGAAAAATGTGGCGTGCAAAAGTATTCAGCCCCCTTTGTCAATACTTGGTGGAACCACCTTTCGCTGCAATTACAGCTGCAAGTCTTTTGGGGTATGTCTCTACCAGCTTTGCACATCTAGAGACTGGAATTTTTGCCCATTCTTCTTTGCAGAACAGCTCAAGTTTAGCAAGATTAGATGGAGAGCGTTTGTGAACAGCAATTTTCAGATCTTGCCACAGATTCTCAATAGGATTTAGGTCTGGACTTTGACTGGGCCATTCTAACACAGGAATATGTTTTGTTTTAAACCATTCCATTGTAGCTCTGGCTTTATGTTTAGGGTCGTTGTCCTGCTGGAAGGTGAACCTCCGCCCCATTCTCAAGTCTTTTGCAGATTCCAGCAGGTTGTCTTCCAGGATTGTCCTGTATTTGGCTCCATCCATCCTCCCATCAACTCTGACCAGCTTCCCTGTCCCTGCTGAAGAAAAGCAGCCCCACAACATGATGCAGCCACCACCATGTTTGACAGTGGGGATGGTGTGTTGAGAGTGATGTGCAGTGTTAGTTTTCCTCCACACCTAACGTTTTGAATTTAGACCAAAAAGTTCCACCTTGGTCTCATCTGACCAGAGCACCTTCTTCCACACATTTGCTGTGTCCCCCACATGGCTTCTGGCAAACTGCAAACGAGACTTCTTATGGCTTTCTTTCAACAATGGCTTTCTTCTTGCCACTCTTCCATAAAAGCCAGATTTGTGCAGTGCGCGGCTAATTGTCGTCCTATGGACAGACTCCCCCACCTGAGCTGTGGATCTCTGCAGCTCCTCCAGAGTTACCGTGGGTGTCTTGGCTATGTCTCTGATCAGTGCTCTCCTTGTTCTGCATGTAAGTTTTGGTGGACGGCCACGTTTTGGTAGGTTTGCAGTTGTGCCATACTCTTTCCATTTCTTGATGATGGATTGAACAGTGCTTCGTGAGATGTTCAAAGCTTGGGAAATCTTTTTATAACCTAACCCTGCTTTAAACTTCTCCACAACTTTATCCCTGACCTGTTTGGTGTGTTCCTTTGACTTCATGATGCTGTTCACTGACCAGTGTCCTCTTAGCAAACGTCTGAGGCTGTCACAGAACAGGTGTATTTATACTAAGGTTAGATTACACACAGGTGGACTCTATTTAATCAGTAGGTCAACAGCTGATCATTCAGCAATCATCAGGCAACCTCTGAAGGCAACTGGTTGCACTCAGAGAAAAGGGGGCTGAATACTTTTGCACGCCACATTTTTCAGTTTTTTATTTCTAAAAACAATTTAAAGTCATGTATAATTTTCCTTCTACTTCACAATTGTGTGTCGCTTTATGTTGATCTTTTATCTAAAATGCCAATAAAATATATTTATGTTTGTGGTCGGAACGTGAGAAAATGTGGGAAAGTTCAAGGGGTATGAATACTTTTTCAAGCCACTGTAATTAGATGTCAAGCGGGCCGGACCAGTACAATCATAAGATGATTAAATTATTGTTTTTCATGCAAAAAAGTACTTTGACAAATCCTTATATTTAATGAAATATAATTTTACAAAACATTTCCTGAACATGAAGTGTTTGTGCATTTGTTGTGTTCAAAGTTCATCAAGCAGGCTGGTTTTGGCCCGCGGGCAACATGTTTGTCACACCTGATTTAGAAAAACCGAGTGGAGTGTGTTTAAAAACCAAATTCGATTCCAAACTCAAGTGACCTAAGATACAAGAAAAACAACCTGTGGTTTAACTCATGTGCACATTTTCAACACAAAACTCTGAGGCTGTGTGCCAAGTACCCAGGGTTAGCTTTGAGGTAAAACTACATAAAACTAAAGATCCAGAGGAGGAGTAATTTAAATACATACAGCAGTAGTACTGTATTTTAGTCAGTGGACTATACACAGAACACCACTCCATTTTTTTCCTCAGTACCCTAGAAGTAGCTCTCAGTTTTAAAAAGTCTGGTGACCCCTGATCTAAAGGTTCTTACCGGTGTAGCCCAGCTCACAGGCGCACTCGTAGCCGTTGAGTTTGTCGATACACGTCCCGTAGTCACAGGCGTTGCTCTTGCAGTCGTCAATGTTGATTTCACAGGTCACTCCTGGAAAAAAAAAATCATCTCAATAAACTAAAATAACAAACACACACAAACTCAGTTTTCCTATTAGGTGTGTCAGGTTCTCAACCTGTGGTTCCCTTAGGACAGCTGCACATGTAGGCGTTCTCCTGGTCCTGGCAGGTGCCGGCGGTCTTGCACGGCCGGGGTTACAGTAGCAGCTTAAGGAGGCGAGGCCGTCGACGCAGATGCCGTAGTGGCAGTGGTCGGAGTAGCACTCATTGATGTCGGTCTCACAGTGTCTCCCGCTGTAACCTGTAACAGAGTGGGTCCATTTAGGTCACGTGGTCTCTAAAACAGATGTATTTAGGAGGCAGGATGCTTTATTTAAAAATATATATTTATTATAATATATAAATATATTTATATAAATATATATATAAATATATATATATAAAAATATATAAATATATTTAAATAAATAAATTCCTTTCTACCTTCAGTGCACTCGCAGGTGTATTTGTTGGGCCCGTCTGTGCATTTGGCGCCATTTTTGCACGGTGTGCTGGCGCACTCGTCGATGTCTATCTGGCAGAGGGTCCCAGAGAAGCCTGGAAAAATAAGTCTTACTGTGTGAATGCATGAAAATGTGTGTGTGCATGTGTGTACATAGAAGGCTACTGTTCTGTCACTGTTTCAAACTCTTCCGCTCATAATCCTGAAAAAAAAATCCTCTCAAGGACACGAAAAAAAAAAAATCTGCATTTTAATTAACGAGGAGCAAAACACTATAAGCTACCTCTTCTTTTCTGTATCACTCCAAAAGGAGAAGGGAGAGTTACTAGCAGGGGGCAGAGAGTACAAAGGGGAGAGGAAAAAAAAGAAAGACGCAAGGCCTCCTGACCAAGGGTTGGAAGGACAAAGGATCTCCTGTGCACGCAGTGCCTCACCCCAGCCAAATGGAACCCGTTGCTCCCTTTGTCCCCTGAAACTTTTCCATCACAATGTGCATTCTCCTGTCTTGCTCTCACCCTCACTCCACCGACTCCCCCCTCCCTTCAACCTCTGCCTGCGCTTACAAAGAGCCAGCTTGACCTTTGCCCCCGTGCTATTCAAACTCCCAGTCATTCAAAAACAACCAGCGGGCCTTCTCTCTCTTCTTTTCTACTCATCACATAGTTTTCCCTCCATTTCCCCCATTTTTTCCGAGGATGGTAGAGTCCAAAGGCCACTGGAGTGTTGTCTGAAGAAGCCATAAAATTCCCACTTCCCCTTCGGCACCACGCCACAGCGAGACACGGGCAGAAGCTGAGGCTAATCTAGCAGGAAAGTAGGAAAGTGAGGAGGCGGGGTTTTCTCAAACAAACTCATCTTCTTTAGGAAAACACAACGATACGACAACTATGTGACGCAATATGACAACTTTTACATGAACACAGATGGAAAAGTAGTAGAACTTTAAAAAAACATGCTAAGAAACCTGCTGGACACAGTAGGGATTCACTCTGGCCACTGTCACCTCAGTAAACATGAAGAGGGATTTGAACCCAGGCCGCTGTAATCCGACATTTCAGCGGCTCACGGCGCGGTTTCCATGGCTATTCTGTGTACAAAAATGAAAGAGGTGGACCCTCGCCTCGGGCCTGGCTCGCACCAGGAACAAATTTACATCTGAAGCAGAGACGTTTACACCCCCACATCCCTTTCTGCTGCAGCATAACGGTCTGTGCATCTCAACCACCAAAACCCCCTCCATCCAGATGCCCTCCTGGAAAAAAAAAAAAGCACTTTTCTTTACAACCGCTCTAAATTACTCCCTCTCCATGTCACAGAGTATTGGGTGGTGTTAAACTCTTGTGTTCAATCTTGTAGCCCCCCCCCCCTTTTTTCATTCTGAAACTCCCACATCAGGATGCCTCTTCTTTTCTCCCATTTTTTCCCTCTTCCTCTCTTTTAAACTCAACAGGAGGACTCCTGCCTCGGTCTCCACCCAGGTCGTCCTTGATCCGCGAGACTCAAAGCGTCATTATTTTTCTTCCAAAAAAATTACTTCCATGTCAATGATACTGCTGAATAAATGAACGACAACTCCCTTCTTTTTTGTTGTTGCATTCCTTCACCCCTGAACAAAACATCAACACTCCAATGGCATCTCTCTGACAGAAATGCAAAAAAAAAAAAACACAGAAAATGTACTCCTGTACTTCGGCACCCTCTGACTGCTAATATTAGTGCTCCCTTCTCCTCGGCCACAATCAAAAGTTTCTGCTTACTCATCAGACCTTGTTGGATAAGAAAGTTTTTTTTTTAAACTTCAAACTTCCTCAAGCCTTTCCCTATAGATTTTGTTTTCCCTCTCTGCTGCTATGTTCATTCTGGACTACTCAGGTCTGCGTAAGCCTGCCTCAGGGCTGGGATTAGTGCCTGTCCAGAGAGGTAGTTTTTGTGTGTGTGTGTGAGTAAGTATTTGTGTGCATTCCTTCCTTCCCTCCCTCCTCACCCCTCACCTGTGGGGCACTGACAGTCGAAGGAGTTGATCTTGTCGATACACCTGCCGTTGTTCACGCAGGGGTTGTTGGCGCACTCGTCTGTATCGATTTGGCAGAACTCCCCCTCGTAGCCTGGCCAATTAGCAAGGGAGGGGGAGAAAAAAGGGGGGAGCGAGGGGTGAGTAAAGCAGGGAGTCAAAGCAAGAGGCTGAACAGCTTCATTAATTTTTAGCTTTAAATACTGGGAAATAAGGCTGCTCTGTTTTATATGTTATGATATAAATATATTTATACATATATTATGTTGTAACCCAAGTGCTCCTTTTTTCGTAGATATATGGCTTTACTTCTGATTTATACTGCAAAAAAAATCTTCTTGAAAGGTAAATTAAAAATAAACTTTTACCCAAACTCTGTTTAACTGTTGCTATTTTAATTCCCATACTGACATAACATTTCTTTTCATTTTGTATAAGAGACTCATTTTGTGAATTGTCAAGTTATTTGTAATTTATGTTTTATGTGTAATTTTTGCATGTTTTTATTATGAAAGGCTAAGGGTACTTTATTTTGAAACCTACGTTGAGCTGTCAGGCCTGTGACGTTTGCCTAACCGTAGAGAGATGCGAGAATGTTCACTTCGTGACCCACAGCTACCCAGTTAAGATGTTACGCTGTCGAGTTAATATCAAGGGTGTAAACTAGAGTAAGCTACACAGTTTAATATTAAAAGTTATATGGTGAAGACTGAAGATAGAAGATCTACAGATTTCCTTTCATAGCATGCAGCCAACGAGTTTCATGGTTTGCGGAGGTCTTTAGATGGTGGTGGAGAGGACAGAGACTTCAAGAAACCCGTTGAAGAAATCACTTGCGTCTGCACATGCTTGGGAGGGAGTCACA